ACACGATTCTGGCCCATCGTCCATCCGAAATTTGAACTCATACCATCCCAGGGGCAGCGGTATCGACACCCCTTGTGTCATCTTTTGCCAAAAATAGTGTGCGCGCGCACTCGTTTATCAAAAACCATCAGTTTGCAAGAACCCTTGCAACAACAAATCTGGCGAACTGCTCACGCGTGCGTCGTCGCGCGCGCATGCCGACAAATTTCAAACAATCGTAGGTGTCGCTAGGGTTTCAAAATGGGCTGTCCAACACATAGAGCCTATCATGGTTTCGCAACGCGGATGTTCCAAACAAAGTTTGCGCGCGCTCTTGCGAATTCTTAGGAAACAGAGGTATCCCAACATTTTGTCCGACAGTGCTACCAAACGGGTTTCGCGCGCGCGTGTCGAAATCGTTTGAAGGTTTTTTTCGCGTGCGCTGTCGCGAGAATCCTTTGCAACCTAAGGAAACGAAGTGCACGCGCGCGCGATGTCGCTCGCGTGCATGCCGCAACCCGTCAAAGTTCTCAGGTTCCGTACGGATTTCAAAACCGAGTGCCGTGAAACCATACAACCAATAACGCACGGTTTCCCAACATCAGTTTTCAAAACAGCCTGCGTTCGCGCTCTGGCGACTTCTTTAGAGTACCGTGATTTTTTGTTGTCAACATGTTCATGACATTCTGCCAAATGGGCCTCTCGCGCCGCATGCCGGAATCATTCGAACGCCCTTGCGCGCGTGCTGGGGGGGTACGATCCATGTCAAATAATGCCATGCGGGCCACCCTTGCGCGTCGGGCGCGCGCGCATGTCGAACTCCTTCCAAACCTTTGTCACCGACGCGAGGACGCCGTCATCTTCGTCGGCGTGATCAGCATCGGCGACGTCATTGGCCGTGCCGTCGCCGCTGTCCTCATCGTCGCCAGCACCGCTACTATCATCATCGTTTCTGCCGTTGTCGACGTTGCCATGGTACCGCGCCCGCCCCAGTCGCCGAATCGCAGAGACGTGCCGCTGGGATGTTCCCAGCGGTCAGTGCTTCCGCGGCCGCGTCGGTCGCCAAACTAGCTGGCCGCTGCGCGCGCGAGCGTGCGCGGGCTGGCGCGGTCGCACAGGTGTGCCAGCCACCACCAAGCACTCATCGCAACCGCGGCCGCATGGATTTTGCAAACCACGTAGCGTGTGGGTGGGTGGGATTGTTGCGCGAGCAACGGGGTTGACAACTCACTGTGGACATACATTGGTTGTTTGTTAATAATAAAAAGGAATTTGATACTACCCCCCCCGGATAATCCATCCCCTGTTCGTGTTGCAATTTACACATGAGTCTGCCCCATCGCCCATTCTAAATATGAGTCCGTACCATCCCGGGGGAACCGGTGTCGACACCCCGTGTCATCTTTTGCAAAGAATACTGTGCGCGCGCACTCGTTTATCAAAAACCATTTGTTTCCAAGGACCCTTTTAACAAAGTGGGCGAACTCCACGCGTGCGTCGTCGCGCTTGCCGCAATCTTTCAAACAAAAACCGCAGGTGCCGTAAGGATGTCAAACTCGAGCGTCCGAACAAAATAGCAAAACAAAGAGCAACACGGCTGCGTAACACTGGTTTCCCCTCAAAAAAAGCTTGCGCGCGCGGTCTTGCGAATTCTTCAGGAAACCATATGTTTCTCAACATGATCAGAAAATGCTACCAAACGGGTTTTGCGCGCGCGTGTCGAAACGAACGCCATTTCGCGCGTGTTGTCGCGAGAGTATTGTGCAACCGATGGGACGAACTGCGCGCGCGCTGTCGCACGCGCGTGCCGAAATCCTCCAAAAACGTTGGTTGCTGCAGGGATTTCGAAACCGAGTGTCCCGAAACCATCCAAAAGTATATGGCTGTGCAACATCAGTGTTCAAAAAAGTTTGCGTTCGCGCTGTGGCGAATCCGTAAGACAGCCATAATTTTTAAACCTGTTCATGGCATTCTGCCAAAATTGCAGTTTGCGCCGCATGCCGAAATCATTCGAACGCCTTTGCGCGCGTGCTTGGGGGGGCACGATCCATGCCAAAGAATGCCATGCGGGCCACTCTCGCGCGTCGGGCGCGCGCATGTCGAACTCCTTCCAAACCTTCATCACCGACGCGAGGACGCCGTCATCTTCGTCGGCGTGATCAGCATCGGCGCCGTCATTGGCCGTGCCGTCGCCGCTGTCACCATCGTTGCCAGCACCGCTACTAACATCATCGTTTCTACCGTTGTCGACGTTGCCATGATACCGCGCCCGCCCCAGTCGCCGAATCGCAGGGAAGTGCCGCTGTGATGTTCCCAGCAGTCAGCGCTTCCGCGGCCGCATCGGTCGCGCCAGGGTAGCTGGCCGCTGCGTGCGCGGGCTTGCGCGGCCGCCGAGATGCACCAACCAACGCCAAACATTCATCGCAGTCGCCGCCGCGTGGGTTTTGCACACCAAGTTGCGGGTGGGTGGGTGGGAGGATTGCGCGAGCAGTTTGCCACGCGCTTGCAGAAACCAATCGCACCACATATATTATACCACGTATGATGTACACCAAAGGGAACACCTTTTAGACTGCACTACTTGAATTGCACAGCATACGTTGCCCATCGTAGAGTGCACACTACCGATTGCACCACGCAGCTTGCAACGTATTTGTTGCATCAAATCGATTGCACTGCCTAGAGTGCACCACGCAGCTTCACATTCTTACGCTGCGCATTGCAGCTGGCACAACGAATGCTGAGCCGCATGGTTTGCACCACATGAAATGCACAATGTATGTAGCACCAGCCAGAGCGCACAACATTTGCTGCGCCATATCGGTTGTTGCGGTTAGATTCTACCAACATACATAGCACTACGTCGATTATACCACTTAGGCTGCACAGTATCGCTCTCACAACATCTGGTGCGCCGCAAGGTTGTACCACATGGATTGCACGTAGAGAGCACACCACCTGTTGCATTACATAGATGGCATCACGTATATTGGACCACGTAGGTTGCATAACATATTTTGGCCCACGTAGATCGCACATCATTTTTCTGGAAACGCGCTGTTTGGAGACCACACTGGCTAACACGAGCTGTTAGTTCGAATGGGTCAAAGTGGTCCGTCCTTCATGAGTACCAGCTCGAATGCAAGAGTGGTGCCAGTAGTTGTTGCAACGCCAGCTCCTATAGCGAATATAAGAAGTGTTGCGGTTTAACACTTCGTGGGGTGTTCTACAGGGGACGACCAGTCCGCCGCCTTTTGGTCGAGAATCTGGCTCGGCCTGGGCATCTTCTCGGAAAACGCGGCCTGATCTGGAGTCCCAGAGAGGCCCAAGACCCTCGCGTTCCCAGTTCTCGCCCCTGCAGTCATTGCCGACGTCTAGCATTCTCGCCTGCGCGCGCACGATTCGGCTAGATATACATGTGAGGCGTTCCAGAAAGGGCCTTGCCTTCGAGAGTCGAAGGACTTGTCATCTCTTCCTCGGCGGAAGGAGGCGGAAGGTCTGCCGAAGTAAAACGAGGCCACCTCCGGCGGAAGCCCGCGGAAGCTCGGCGGAAGGCGGCGGAAGTAAAAGATGTGCCCCCACGAGATGAACACGTTTTGGGGTTTTTGGTTTCCGACATGTCTTTCCAGCGCGTGGCCCCCTCTGTGGCAAAGCGCGCTGGCGTTCGGTATGTGCATATCCAGCGCGTGGCCTCCGCCTGCTTTCCCCTTGCATGCATCCAGCCACGCCTGTGTTCCAGCTTCCCGATCGATGCGTGTGGAGACCCATGTGGAGAAACACCCTGCTTGCCTCCAGGGTTGCCCCGTGCTTCTTGGGTTTCGATGGCCTTGCGACGGGAAGCGTGGCGCTCCCGCACCAAAAGTCGATGGACGCCCTGATGTCTCAGGGTTGGGTCTCTTGTGGAAGGTCCCTCGTGGACTGGCCTCCACTGCACTGGGTTCCTTTCAGGGTGGTGCAGCGGCTGCGCAGCAGTTGCCTCGCGGGGCTGCGGCGCATGCATCAGGGAGTAGGAGGACGAGGGCCCGTTGCGCTCTCGCCGGCGCAGCGCTGGGCGGCGCGTCGGCGGTCATCCAAAGCACGCGGTGGAGCGACGGGCCCAGAGGCGCCAGAGGGGCCTCGAGCATTGTGGTGTGGGCCGCGGGTGGCTTGGGCCCAGCGGGCTTCCCACTGGGTCATCGCAGCTCGCACCTCGGCCCCACCGGCCCCCACCCCCCGCTCAATGGTGATAGGCCCCGCGGAGCGCAAAGGAACAGGCGTGGACCTCCAACTAGGTGGGCAAGTTGGCCGGTGGGGCCAAGGGGAAGCAGAGGGGGCGGCGGGGCGCGCACGACGAGAAGGGACGGGAGGGGAGGAGCAGGAAGGAGGAGGAAGAGGACCGGTGTAGGCCCAGCTTCGGCAACCATGTTGCAATCAAGCCTCCCTCCAAGTTCCCTTCCCTTCCCCAGGCCCCTACCAGGATCCATTTTCATTGAGGGAGCCGAGGCCAAGACAGTGTGGAGAGGGATCGGTTAAGCGATGGTCGTGGGCCTGGCTCCGCGGGAGCCGCGCGCTGGTTGTGTCGGGGCCTCGGCTGAAGGCACGGGCGGTCGGGGCGTGCCCTTCCCCGAGGCGCTGGCGGACTGTCACGGGCTTGCGCTGTGCCCAGCTTTCGCATCTTTCGGGGAGCAGGCAATGACATAAACATAAAACTCGGAGGTCCACGCGGATTTCCTCGGATCTGCGCTGGGGCTCCCAGGCGACGCCTCCAGCGCCGCCCCTGCGCGCTCCTCGCGCCAGGGAGGGGGGTCCAGCCCCGAGGAATTCGCGCGGACCTCCGAGTTGTTGTGCTTATGGCATGGCTTGTTCCCCTGATCTTCTCCCGTTCCAGTCGCCTCCCGGGCTCCCGGCCCGACTCGAGCCTCTCTTCGTCACGGCCCTCTGAACCAGGACATTGCCAACCAGGACTTTGAGAATTCCGCCTCGGGAGGACGAAGCAAGGATCATGCTTCCACGGCTACAGCTTTGTCGGCGGCGCCAATGTCCTGGTTTATCCAGCGTCCATGCTTTTGGGGCCTTGAGTGCGTACCTTTCCTTTTTCAGGCCATCTCTGGCTCAGGTCGTCATCTGTTCGGCCACTCACATCCTACTCTACACAATTTAAGAAAGCAGTCTCAGAAAGTACACACGCAACTTGTACACCCACACTCTGAAAACGAACATGTGCGCTTCCACCAAGTCCGCGTCGTCGAGCCCTGCACAACCCCGGCCGGGGCCTCTGCCGGAGAGTCTCTGGCGCAAGTTGTTCGCAGACGTCACGCTCCTAGTGTCCGGAGGAAGCGGGCGAGGAGGAGAGGGAGGAGCAGGAGGAGGGGGAAACGGAGAAGAAGGAGGAGGAGACGGAGGAGGAGGAGGACGGGGAGGAGAATGAGAGGAAGGAGAAGGAAGTTGCGGAGGAGGAGCAGGAGGAGGAGGAGGAGGAGGAATGGGGCAGGGAGGAGGAGGAGGTGTGAGGAGGTGTTAGGAGGAGAAGGAGGAGGAGGAGGAGGAGGAGGAGGAGGAGACCCAGACCAGTTCGCATCGTGAGCAAAAAAACGACGAACGGGTTCTCCTAGCTTCGGCCTTCGGGCGACCTTCGCGAGCCCCAGGACCGCCAACAAAACGACCGACACGGCTGGACTGGTCCCCGGGTCGGAGGGTTTGCAATGGGGATTCGATAGATGCGGGGGCAGCGAGGTATGCAGAGAGGAGCCCTTTATAGGGCCCCTGCAGGGGCCCGGTCGGTTCCAGAGGAGGCCTTCTGGGGTCGGAAAATTGCACCTTCCTTCCTAGTTCTTCGCTCCTCGCACTGAGCACCGCCCAGTCAAGGGGGATCCCGTGCCTGAACAAAGCAGGACCGTGGGGGTCCGTGGACGAGGCCTTCTGGCGCCGTCTGACGCTGCGTGGTGGGCTGCGCGGGCGGGCAGGGCCGCCTGTGCCCCCCATCGAAGCCGCTCGGCCTTGCTGCGCACGCGGCTGCTGAGCACAGGAGGGGGAGGGGGGGGGGAGGAGGAGGGGGAGGAGGAGGAGGAGGAGGAGGAGGAGGAGGAGGAGGAGGAGGAATGAGGAATGAGGAATGAGGAATGAGGAGGAGAGGAGGAAGGAGAGGAGGAGGAGGCGGAGGATACGGAGGAGTGAGGAGGTCGAGGAGGCGGAGTGAGGAGGGCGAGGACACGTGATGAGTGAGGAGGAGGACGGGGAGCTCGGGCAGGGCGATGAGGAGTGAGGAGCGAGGAGTGAGAAGTGGGAGTGAGGAGAACGAGGACACGATGACGAGGAGGGAGGATGGAGAAGGGCTGACCGCTAGATAATCGATCGCAGTTCACGGCGACTGGGTGATCGCGTGATCGTCGTCACAGAGGCTAGCTCGCGGTCGCCTCGTGGCCTTTGCGACGAGCGTGGCGGCCAGGGATGTGATCTGACCATCATTTCGTTTTAGGCTGAGTGACCGGAGGGGTGGCTGGCCCTCCTCGTCTCCCCTTCTGGCATTGCTGCATTGACATCTCTCATCTCTCCCGCTTGCATTCGCCCTCATGCCCGACGAGAGTGCCGACACGAGGAACAGGAGGCGGGAGAGGGGGTGGGGGCCAAGGTAGGTGCGCAAGCGTCATGCCTAACGTCCTACCCCTCCCTCCCATCCCTAACCATTGCGTATATCTCTCTTCTATTCGCACAGTCGGGTGTCGAATAGGGCAATGATCCTGAGAGGGTTAGCGATGCATGGTATAGCACGGCATAGCATGGCAGCCGACGTCGCCGTGTCGAGAACACAGTTCATGTCGACCGCAAGTTCTTATGGAACCAGGCATGACACAGGACGGGAAATGCAAGTGGACGGTTTGGAAAACGGGAAGCGCAACATGAGATCAGCGTTGAAGCGTGAGCAGAATGTCGAAGGACCGAAACCGCGGAATTGAGAGCAGCGCTGCATTGGGAGCGCGATTCGGAACGACTGGAAACGCGGAACATAAGCCAACGCTGCAGCAGGAGCACGATTTGGAAGAACCGAAAAATGATTCGAGGTCAGCGCTGCACTGGGTACATGAGTTGCAAGGACAGAGAGGAGGGGAACATGGAGCCAACGCTGTAGCGGGAGCGCCATCCTGAAAGGACTGACGCTGTTCGGAAACATTAATTCCCAATTCGGCGGAAGCTTGAGTGGGAACGGATAGTACGCGAAGGAGGCCAGGACACCTCATCGGCGTCTTCGGGGGAAAGAAGAATTGTATTCATATTGCGTACTTGTGGAGAGTGGGGGGGTGGAAGGTCTGTGGGTGGGTAGGTAGGGCAGCGATCAGGTTGAAGAGGAGCAGAAGGACAAGAAGGCGTCGAAAGTGTGAGGGGTAGGAGGGGGCGGGCGCGGATGGATATACGGCAAGATTTGGTCCCGCCTTGGACTCCCCCCCAAGGTTCTTGCGACGCGTCACTGGGGGGGTCGTATCTTCTGGGGGGAACGTCTGGCCCAGCCCGATCTCCGCAGACACCCGACCCGAGGTCGTGAGTTTCCAATATCGTGCACCCCAACGCTCTCGACCCGTCCCCCACCGGTTCTTGACGGCCCCGGGGCCCCGGAGATGTCCCCCACATGCCGCGCACGTGCAGCACCAATTGCACGCCGCGATTCCCTCACGACGCGAGGGGGCCTGGGCCTCGAGCCCCCCTCCCCGGGAGGAGGCGGCGTGGCCGACTTGGCCCAGGTCGACCTGGCGACCTCACACATGCGACGTCTTGATGTTTGCAGAACTGCGCGGTCCACAGAAGTGCCGATCCTTTCCCCGGGGCCCGTTTGTCATCCTCCGGGGCCCAGCGAGGGCTCCCAGAGGTCGAGACGCCCCCAACAATACCCGTCGTGGTTCTTCGTTTTGGCTCTACGACGCGATCATGTCGCGCACTGGCCTTAAGTCGGGCATGTCCCTCGAGAGGAGGATAATGCAAACATAGTTATGGCAAAAAACGGGTGGGGGCGATGTTTCTGCTATCGTTGACTTCTTTTTTGTCGCCGCATGGTTGGACGCTTTCTGTCGCCCCAAATTCCGCCTGTAGCTGTGGGAGGACATGCCCGGCCCGGGACTCGCCAGCGAAACATTTTTTTGGGTCTGCGGGTCGAGAGCGAGCCTCTTCCGGTTAAGAGCTAGGCGGGCCGCGCAAAGCACTAATTGGAGAGACAGAGCACAGGCGGGGACTCAGCGAAACACGCGGAGGTCGCGCCGCCTCAGCTCGACCTGCTGGCGGCGGGGCTGCTTCTGGGCGCCCTGGCCCTCAAGGACCGCCTGCGGGGGAGGGGGCGCCGCTCCGCCCGGGGCCGCGCCAGCTCTCGCCTCCGCTGCAGCCCCTTCCTGGCGCTGCGCCCTCTCGCGCTCATCCCCGCGCCTCCTCCTCCTCCTCCTCCTCCTCCTCCGCCTCCTCCTCCTCCTCCTCCTCCTCCTCCTCCTCCTCCTCGCCCCTCACGCCGTGGAACAATCACGACGGGTTTTTGTTTCGCTCTTTCGGCCTCCGTGGCGAAAGAGGGCTCAGGATGAACCGCCGGTCCCGCGGAAGGGGTCCAGACCTCCATCTGGGGGCCGACGTGGCGGCGACAAATCACGGCGTCGGGGGTCTGGGCCCTTCCCTCCGTCCACCGCCTCGTCTTTGCCTTCTCCCTCCCGCCCACTCGGGCAAGAGCTTTCCCCGAGAGCGGCGCTGGCGGTGGCAGCCGCCTGGCTGCGCGCCACATTGGGCACGCCACGAGGCCCGTGCCAGCCTCCCTGCGCGCCTGGCCCGCGCACTGGCGGCCCGTGCGGCCTGCAGCAGTGGAGCCTTGGCGCTCTCGGCTCTCCTCTCACATGGAGGAGGAGGAGGAGGGGGAGGAGGGGGAGGAGGAGGAGGAGGAGGAGGGCGAGGAGGAGGAGGAGGAGGGCGACGAGGAGGCAGGCGAAAGGGTACGGAGGGCGACGGCCAGGAGGAGGAAGGAGGCAGAGGAGGAGGAGAAGGAGGAGGACGGCGACGAGCGAGGAGGAGATACCCAGGGGAGGGCGAGGAGGGCGTGGACGAGGAAAAGGGAGGCGGAGGTGGAAGGGGGGGTCACGGCCCCACGTGGCGCGGTCTTCTAAGAAGACAGTGGAGACCCATGCCAAGTAACACCCTGCTTGCCTCCAGGGTGCCCTGGGCTTCTTGGGTGTCGATGGTTTTGCTATGGGGAGCGCGATTTTCCCACACCAGAAATCAATGGACGTCCTGGAGTCTCGAGGTTGGGTTTCTTGTGGAAGGTTTTGTGTGGTCGAGCTCCTACTGTAGACATGGACGGTGCGGCGCCCCGGGGTGTTTTCCCCATTCGTATTCCTATCTGCCCTCCTCCTCCCCTCCATCCCCTCCCCTCCTTGCTCCCCTCCGCCCCTCCTTGCGTCTTCTTGGCCTCCCCCCGGGGGCGCCGAACAGCTCCTGGAACTCTCGAAGGGTGGTTCGCCTGGGCAACGTTGGCCGTGGCGGCCAGGCGGCTCCCGGCCTGCTGCTGCCTCCCTCCCCTCCGCCCTCCTGCCTCCCTCCCTTCCGGGCCAGGGCCCGCGTCCGCGCATGGGGGTCCGAGCCTGTGCCCAGCGCGCTCCGGCGGAGCGCTTCTGGAACCCGCGGGGCGCGGGCGCGCGCGCGGCCCGCCGGCCCCTGCCAGAGCCCCTCCGGAGCTCTTGCGGCGCCCCGGCGCGCTGGGCCCTCGGGGCTCTCCAAAAACTGTGCTGCCGATCCCGCAGGCCCTGGCCAGCGTCGAGCCCCTCCGAGAGCCCCGGGGGCCGGGACGCCTTCCCGAAGCCGCAACACGGCGACGGCCCCCAGACCCCAGAAAGACCTCAAGAGGCCCCCGAGGGCCCAAGAAACCCCAAAAGTGACCATGAGCATGCAGATGAGAGGTTGCAAAAGGCCCCGACGAGGCCTCCAAGAGGCAACGCAACAACCTTGCAATGCCATAGCGCTAAAGACTTGTTGCGCAGCTTTCTGAAGCTCGGGGCGCTCTGGGTGTAGTAGATACTCTGAGCTTTTATCAAGGGGGGGGGGCTTCAACCTTCTGACTGAGCCTACCCAATCCCGCCCCCCATCAATCCTCCTCTCCTCCTCCCCCTTCTCATCCTCCTCCTCCTCCTTCTCCAACCCCCCTCCACTCATTCCGACAGCACTTGCCCAACGCCCCCAGCGGATCCAGGGGGGGCGATTCCCATCATCCAGAGTACGCAGTCTCAGGTCCAGCTTAAACGTTTTCTCCAACGCGATGTCGATGACGCGATCGTGGAGAAGCGGGGGTCGTGGGAGGGAAATCCTCGCGCCTAGGCGCAAGGCCCTGGCAGGCTGGATGCGTGCCAGCACAGGGTCTCTGCCTGGCCTGTGCCGGCAATGTGCGGCTAGCAGCAGGCCGAGCGCAGTCTCAAATTCAGTGGGTAGCGAAGCTTCCGTTTCCGATCGTGATTGGTACCAGTAATAGTTTTGGGGGTGCTGTGATTGACGGGTGTATTGGGTTCCGTGGGTTCGGTCTTGGCCTTGGTGTTTTTTTCTCAATGTTCACTCGTCCCTCTTCCCGCCTTCCTCTCCCCCTCCTCCCGTCCGTGAATCGGGATCATCGCGAATATCAGCGGGTTTATTGCTGTCTTGTGTTACCGGTGCCGTGCTTCTCCTCTTTGGTCGGTTTGTTGCTCCCTTGTCTTTTCAGACGTCAGCAAATGCAGGCGAGTCGCAGCCTGTTTCACCGACCGTCGTCCTGCCGTCGTCTCGCCGTCGTCGTTGTCATCGTTTCTTCCTGGGACCCGTCCCCCACGTGTGGGTCCGGGCTCAGGCGAAATGCTGGATGCAGACTTCATTCCCTTGTCCGCCCCTTCCCTTGCAAGCCAGTGCGCCTCGTCCTCGCCCTCGCCCTCGTCACTCTCTTCCTCGTTAGCCTTTCCTCATCCACCTCGTCCCTCCTCGTCCCTCCTCGTCCTCCCCTTGTCCTGCCTCGGACGGGGGCCGTGCCCTCCCGGGGGCGCCCCGTCCAGAGGCGGGCTCGGTGTGGCCAGAGGGCCGCCTGGACTTGCCGCCCCCTCGTTCCCGTGGTCCTCGCAGGGAGGGGCTGCGGGGGCGGGCCGAAAGAAAGCGAAGGACGGACCCAGGAACCACAGACAGCGGAGGGACACGACCGAAAGAAAAGAGGCACGAAACAGCGAGGGCCCGAAGCTACAAAAGTGATGCTGGGAAAGCCTGAGGGGATTGGATGGCCCCAGCCCTGGCTCCTCGGATGTCTTTGCCTCACCTCCCCGCAAGCATCCACAAGCCTACATTCAAACCCTCCTCCCAGGCGGCAGCAGAGCTCTTTCTCTCTTTGCGAGCCTGGGCGGGGAAGACATGCACAGCAGAGCTGTAATCAGTTTTCCCAAGCGCAAGCGGTACGGGTGCTTGCTTCCATTGCGCCTCAATGCTTGGGAAGCCTCGCAGTCAGACAGCCTCGTAGACGGGAAAAAGGTTAAAGATGTCGCCCCATGGGAGAGCGGCAGAGGAACAGCCAAGCCCGCAAACAAAGAGAGAGAAGCTAGCATAGCCTCTTCTCTCTTGGCGAGCCTGGGCAGCACAAGGGATAAACGAGCAAAGGCAAGGGTTTCACAAGCGCAAGCGGTACGTGCGTTTGCTTCCATTGCGCCTCAATGCTTGTGAAATCCTTGCAGTCAGGCAGCCTGTATGGGCCGGAGAAGATTGACTGAAAGAGGTGACCCCCAGTCCGCAGCAAGGAGAAACGCAGGTTGCCTCTTCATCGCTTGGCGAGCCTGGGCTACGGACGTTACAACACAACACAGCCTAAACACACATTGGCAGAACTTGCAATGGCGTCGGGTGTGGTGGGTATCCAAGAGACACCCGCATCACAGTACATAGATAAGCATACCAGATATCCCACCCCTCCTTGCCAACCCCCGATCTAATCATCAGGCTGCAACGGCGGCTGCAGCAGCCATTCTGGGTCGAAAAGGGCCTGGAAGTTGAACACATCGTGGGGTTCGGGGAAAGCATACATGACACTGGCACAAGCAACTGCACAAGCATCCCCAATTGGGCACTGCACTTCGTGCGTGGGATCGCGTCCATCACACATGAGCCTCGGGCGAAACAGTGTGCCCTTGGCCTGAGGGGGCCCAGTACAATTCCTAAGTAAGTCTTTGACTGGAGGAGGAGGAGGAGGAGGAGGAGGAGATGTTGGCGGACGAAGAGCGGCGCAACGTATTTTTTTTGTCTCCGCCGGCAGGGGCGCCCGCCCCGGGGCGGCCGGGAGGTCTCGCAAGCCGCTCCGGGGCCAGGCGTTCTGGCGCCCCGGTGCACGAGGAGCGACGAGCGATCAGCGCGGAGCGTGGAGGAGGGCGAGGAGGAGGAGGAGGAGGGATGATGATGTGGAGGAGGAGGAAGGAGGAGGAGGAGGAGGAGGAGGAGGAGGAGGGATGATGATGTGGAGGAGGAGGAGGAGGAGGAGGAGGAGGAGGAGGAGGATCCACTCCTCCGCATCCTCCGCCTTCTCCTCCCTCTCGTCTTGCCTGGCACACAATTCCTACTCCATATCTCGTTTCCCTCGTGTTTTAGGCTGAGCCTTCATGCAGCCGCTCGGGGGAGGGTGCACGGCAGGGTTGGTTCATGCTTGTGTTGTGAAGGCGTTCTGCATGAAACATTTGGCTCCGAGTTGATTTGTCAATCCTCAAGTGTTCTTCTCCTCTTCCTCGTTTTCTTTCTCCTTCTCCTGTTCCTCCCTCTCCTCTTTTCCTCTTCTTCCCTCACGCCGGTGTCCCAAGCTGCCCCATCCACTCTGGGAGGAGGCGCTGGGGGTCGCCGCGCACAGCGAGGCGCCCCGATGGGTAGGAGAGGCGTGTTTCTTCTTCTTGTTATGTTTATTGTGATTATTATTATTATCGGCCTGGCGGGGGGGGGCAGGAGGAGGAGGAGAAGGAGGAGGAGAAGGAGGAGGAGAAGGAGGAGGAGGAGGAGGAGGAGTAGGAGGAAGAGGAGGAGGAGTAGGACGAGGGGGAGGAGGAGTGAAGGGAATGGACTGGCGCCGATGGGACCCAGAGCAGATGCCCGAGAAGAGGACCACGCAGAGGCCACGCACGAAGGAGCGGTGGTAACACACCAGCTCTGCGTGCAATCCGCCGAGCCCGAGCTGCCACGCAAGGCGTCGGCGTCTCGGAACAGCCGCGCACGCTCGGCGCTCCCAGCAGCCGACGGGGCAGGGGCCGCCGCCGCCATCGCCGCCCCGAGCTCGTGCAGCGGCGTACCGACGCCCGCGCTGGCGCCTCCATCCGCAAGCGCCTTCACGATGAGCTTGAACACCAGGATCTCCAGCGTCAGGCCCTGCTGCTGGCTGCGCGCCCGCCTCCACCACATCTGGGGAGGGGGTGCGGCCGCGAGTGGCGCCCCAGCCCTCGACCCCAAGGCCCTCGGCACCAGCAGGCCGGCGAGGAGGACCGACCACCTCTCCATCAGAAGGGCCGCTTCTGCCGCGTCCTCGTGACCGCCACCGCCTTCTGATTTGCCGGGCGGGTCCTGGTCGCAGGCCCCCACTGCACCAGCGGGAGCTGCACCTCCTTCGTCCCCATGAGGAGGAGGAGGAGGAGGAGGAGGAGGAGGAGGAGGAGGAGGAGGAGGAGGAGGAGGAGGAGGAGGAGGAGGAGAAGGAGGAGGAGGAGGAGGAGGAGGTGGGAGGGCAGGAGGAGGAGGAAGAGGAGGAGGAAGAGGAGGAGGAGGAGCAGGAACACAGGGACGAGGAGGCGGGGGAGCCGCGAAGACCACGGCATGTCATAGACTGGGGTCAGGCTTTGCGCCCTCTTGTAATAAGAAAAGGGGCCCCGTCGCTGGCCCTCGCCTGGTTGGGTCGCAGCCCAGGCGACGCGACAAAACGTCCCCTACGATGAGCCCCTCCCCAAGGATCCTGTCAGGATTGTGGGGCCAATCTCCCTTCCTTCCTTTGATGGGTGCGGGGGTGGACGAAAAGTGCGGGGACAGGCCCCACGCTGCCACCCTGCTTGGGCCTTGGGCTCAAGTCCCTAGGAAAAAGCCGCGCCAGAGGGGGGCCCTCCAACCTCAAAAAGAAGGCGGCGGACGAGGAGGAAGATGAGGAGGAGAAGGAGGGGCAGAAGGAGGAGGAGGAAGAGGACGAGGAGGAGGAGGATGTACCTGCGGTTTGGGGGTCAACCTTAAACCCTGGGCAGCAACCCTAGGACTGCTACGCCTAGTGTCTTTAGCCAGGATGTGGTGCTGGAAGGGCGTATCACAGTAAGGTTAATGCCGACCTCCTGTGCGTGACGGGCGCCTGCTCCTTCAACTATTCTCGTCCTGGCCTTATGTTCCTCCATTTTTCGCGGCGCCCGCCAGGTACGTTGCGAGCCGAGACGCGTGAGCACTTCGTCTTTCAAAATCAAAAGCGCCACAGGTTTTCACCTCAGGTTTGCTTAACGTAAGAAGGAGGAGAAGGAGGAGGACGAGGGGGAGTAAGAGGGGGAGGAGGAGGAGGAGGAGGAGGAGGAGGAGGAGGAGGAGGAGGAGGAGGATAAGGAGAGTGGGGGAGGGGAGGGGCGGGGGAGGATGCGGAGGAGGAGGAGGAGGACAGGTAAACCCAACAAACACATCAAGGATTTTGTTACTGACCATTCCTTCCAAAGTCTCTTAAGCTGTTTCTAGTCATTTGATTCGAACTTCAGGGAAATCCTCGCTGGAAGACAGCCGTCGTGAATTTTTCAACCGTGTCAACGCGCCATCCCTGGGACTCCAACACCGCGAATCAACGTTACCATCGCGACCTGACGATCGTGAGTCGTGTCAGAACAAGATTTCTGGGATGCCAACACTGCGAATCAACGCCATTGCCGCGCACTGGCAATCTCAAATCGTCCCACAACAGCAGGCCCAAGACTGCAGCCATAATAACGGATGAAACTGATGCAAACTGTTAAGACGAATGGGCATGGCGGTAAAGTGAGAACCGCATGTTGAAAAGGAACCCCCTCCACCCGTGATGCCTTTGCATTTTTGAAAACGAATGCGCGCGGCGGTGAGGCGAGAGCCACATTTCGAAAACGGGCCACCCTCCATCCGTAAAGCTCTCGCGGGCTTTGTAAAGACAAATGTGCGCGGTGCTACAGCGAGAGCCACATTCTGAAAGTGCTCCGCCCCCCATCGATTGAACTCTTCGAAAGACGAATCTGCGCAGCGCTAGTGCGAGAACCCTTTTTTGAAAACAGCCAGCCCCGGTTGCTTCCTGGCTGTCGGGTCATAGCTCGATTCTCCGGCGGCAACTCGGGACGATCATGTAGTAGTAGTAGTAGTAGTAGTCGTAGTAGTAGCAGTAGTAGTAGTAGTAGCAGTAGTAGCAGTAGTAACAGTAGTAGCAGTAGTAGTAGTAGTAGTAGTAGTAGTAGTAGTAGTAGTAGTAGTAGTAGTAGTAGTAGTAGTAGTCGTAGTAGTCGTAGTACTAGTAGTACTAATAGTAGTAGTAGTAGTAGTAGTAGTAGTAGTAGTAGTAGAAGTAGTAGTAGTAGTAGTAGTAGTAGTAGAAGTAGTAGTAGTAGTAGTAGTAGTAGTAGTAGTAGTAGTAGTAGTAGTAGTAGTAGTAGTAGTAGTCGTAGTCGTAGTCGTAGTCGTAGTCGTAGTCGTAGTCGTAGTCGTAGTGTAGTCGTAGTAGTAGTAGTAGTCGTAGTAGTAGTAGGTAGTAGTAGTAGTAGTAGTAGTAGTAGTAGTAGTAGTAGTAGTAGTAGTAGTAGTAGTAGTAGTAGTAGTAGTAGTAGTAGTTAGTAGTAGTACTAGTACTAGTACTAGTACTAGTAGTACTAGTACTAGTACCAGTAGTAGTAGTAGTAGTAGTAGTAGTAGTAGTAGTAGTAGTAGTAGTAGTAGTAGTAGTAGTAGTAGTAGTAGTAGTAGCACCCCTGGAGCGCATCTCGGCCACGCGCCGCTGTCGGAAGGCATCCCGAGGCAGGCAGGCCCCGAAGAAGCGGCCATCACGCCCGCGAACCCCGAACCGTGATAGCATCGAGCCTCGAAGTGGGGTAGGGTGGCAGGTTGGCCGGTAGGTCGGTCAGTCAGTGGGTAGGCCCAGGCCGGGTGAGCCAATTGGGAGCCGGCGGTAAACCGTCAACCAGGTTACCGCCGGGACCCTCGTAGAGCTCTAAACGCGCAGATCAGCGCCCAGATGACGAGGAGAGTGCGTTCTGGAATGTCAGCTTGAAACTCGCAAAATGCATTTTTTGATTCAGTCGGTGGGCAGGTAGGTCGGTCGGCGTCTTCCTCCCGAAGATTGTATATTGGGCCCGCGGGCCCGGGTCCCTTGGCAGAGGATCGCAAGGCCTAAGGGGCGGCTGCGTCGACTCCGCGCCGCCCCCCCGGGGGAAGGGCAGGCTCGCTCGCGCGCGGGCGGGGGAGGGGGGGGGGTCGGCGGCCTGTGGCTGCCCAGCCCGCCCCTTGCCCGCGGGCGCGCTTGTTCGGGCGAGGACGATCAATACGCTCCAGAGCGTCCCGGGGCGCTCTCGGAGCATTCCGGGGCGCCGCGAGAAGGCCGCGGCGCCCGATACATCCTCCAGAGCCATCGGGCCCCAGGGATTCCCGATGTCTCTGCGGGCGCGAAGTATGCCCATGATATCCCGTGCGCCTCGGGCTTCTGGGGCAGGGGCCACGGGAGCCCGACACTCCACACTGCAGCGGGTATGGACAGAAGTACAGTCGGGGCGCTGACGAAGGAACCCTTTTCGTGTGGGAGGGGCTCAGTGTTCCTTACTTGGTTTGCAGTTGGCCTCTGGTTTTCCTTAGGTTTCCGATGGAACATCGAATTGTAACTTAGGGGAAACAGGGGCCTCGTTCCTTATTTAGGGTTCCTTAGAGCAACGCCCCGACTGTATCGCCCGCCCCGCAGTATCCTCGCCCGATTTGGTCCTCGTCATGGTTTCCTCTAAGAGGGGGGGGGGGGGGGCGCGCGCCCGCGACCCGGAGGCGCTCCTCTTCGGCGCCCTCTTCTTCGCCGCGCGCAGCGCCTTCGCGCGGGCGGAGCAGTCGCGCCCCGCCGCCGCCGCGCGGGGCTGCGTCCGCGCCGCCGCGGGGAGCGGGGCCAAGGCGGCCCGGCTCTCCGGGCCACGTGCTGCTCTCAGTGTGCTCACGCAGCGGCCACGCTTACATGTAGACGCCAGTTTGTGGAAGTGGGTGCTTCTGGATCCCCGGGTCCCGAGCTGCTTCAAGCGCCCTTCCGGCTTCAGGCGTCGAGTCGCTTCTGCTGTGCTTCGTCTTTCTCTGAGAGGGCCCGAACCCAACCTGCTCTATCCGCCTTCCTACCTCATGCCGTTTTACCTAGTTGATGTCAGTGTTTCACACAGCGGCCCAGGACCCATTTCGATTCATCCGATTCGATGTGTTTCGATCTCGACGGATTCCGATTCCAATCCGATTCGACTCCGGATTCCGATTTGGCGTCAGATTTCTCAATGGGGGCCTGCTAGTCTGCCAATTTCCGCTGATTCGACTTTTCCCGACTCGGCTACCGATTTCCGCCGATCAGGTTATTCCGATCACCGATCCGACTTATCGATTCGATTCTGAGCTCTCTTGCAGCAGCCAAGCTTCCATGTAAACAAGAATTCGCATTCTACACGTAGCGCCCCGTAGTTGCGGCTAAGAGTGAGAGGGCGGGCGCTGGGTGGGTTGCGGGTGGGTCGCAGGGGTGGGTCGCAGGGGGGCAGCGGCGGGTCGGGGGTGGGGGGTCGCGGGTGGTTCGCGGGCGAGGACGGCGACAACAATGCAACCAGGAAATCCGGGGCCAAGGAAGCCCACCTCAGCCAAGTTCCCGGGGACAAGTAATCACCGTGCGACTCCCTCTCACTCTGATACATCTGTACGTGAACATGTAAGCACTCACATATCTGTCCATATCTGTATATATACATATATGTCTGTCTGTCTGTCTGTCTGTCTGCCTGCCTGCCTGCCTGCCTGCCTGCCTGCCTGTCTGTCTGTCTGTCTGTCTGTCTGTCTGTCTGTCTGTCTGTCTGTCTGTCTGTCTGTCTGTATGTGCGTGAGAGTGTGAGAGAGAGAATGTGTGTGTGTGTGTGTGTGACCCGTACCCCTGTTTAGGTAGCCCTCCGCCAGCGCACCTTGCCTAGCCGACGACTCAAAAAGTGTGTGTGTGTGCCTTGGGACGCGGCCTGTGGCGCCGTGACAGCTGCCCCCCCCCCCTTGGGTGGAGCCGGCCCCCCCCCCCCCCCCCATGGTGGAGGCAAGACAGAGTCTGGACGGCTCCCGACGCCGCCACGCGATGCAGACGGTCCCGAGAGGGTCACGAAGGCTCCCAAGATGCCCTCAGCACGCCTTTTGAGACAGGCCCAGAGGGCCTCAAGAGGCTCCCAAGCGGCTTCCCGGAGATCCCAGGAGGCCAACCAATCTTCGAACATCCCAGAGGAGATTCCTGACCGCTTGCGACGAGCGTCTGAGGCCTCCAGAAGGCGCACCCCATGGGCTCGGAAAGCCCCACGAGGAGCCACCGAGAGTCCCACGACGGCCCCAACAGCACCCAAGAGCTTTTGCAGAGGGCCCCCAGAGAGCGTCCCCTCCAACTGGTTCCCGAACAGCACCCAAGAGCTTTTGCAGAGGGCCCCCAGAGAGTCCCACGAGGGCCCCAACAGCACCCAAGAGCTTCTGCAGAGGGCCCCCAGAGAGCCCCTGGACGGCCCAGAGCGTCCCCCCGACTGGTTCCCCAGGACGCCAAGCAGAAGGCTCACGCCGGCTGCAATCCTGGAGGTGAATGTCAGGAGGGGAAAAAAAAACACAGACACAATTAATCGTCGATTCCCAGGAAAAGATTGGAAACTATGCGAAGTCGGGGGGGAAGACAAAAACCAAGAAAATATGGGAAATAATTTGGAATCTTTTTATGTGTGTGTATTTATTTGTGTGTCCTGGGGCCCCTTCATACTGGTAATGGCGGGGCCGTGCAAAGGGCCAGCCCTTGCATCCTCTGCGGCTGTTGTCATTTGCGGTGTCGTCCACTTGTCCCGGGCCTGCGCAGTCCAGCCAGGCCCTCGCAGAGTGGCCAGGACTGCGCCAGCTGGTCCGATGGCGGCACCCCACCTTGCCAGACCTTGAACCCGCAAGCCTGAACGCAAGATGCATCCGATCTGGAGTTGCCCAACCCCTCCACACGGCCTTGAGCCACGTCACCAGCGGGAGGGCGTTGGCATCATATCGGGGGCGGAAAAGAGGGGGGTGATGATCAGGGGGGGTGGATATCATGGCGTGGGCCATGATATTTCCCCAGATTTCATGGCGCCTCTTCTTACTTCATTACGTCCCTGGCCCCCCGCTGGGCCGCGCACATGCCGCCGGTCATGATTTGCACCCCCCCCTCTTGGACACCCCCCGCTTGGCCGCTCCCGATCATACGTTGGGTCGCTCTTGGTGTCGTCGGACAGCATGAACTGGATAGTCCTGGAACGTGCTCGCAGGGCCCCGAAGATGGAGAAAGAGGCCGTAGCTCGAAGGCTCGTCAGCTGCGAATCCGGCACTCCATGGATCCGCATGCCGTAGGTAATCGCTGGGATCCCTCCCGCTCGAAAGAGTCGATATAACGAGTTGCCGCCATCGGCTAGCCTGCGAAAACGAGTATTTCGCAGTCGTAGCCTGTGGGCTCGGTGCCGCCGGACGGCCCGGCCACCTCTCGACATCCTCCTGTCCAGGCCCAGCTGCTTCACAGTGCGCCTGCACTGAAAACGGTTCGAGGAGAGGGCCACGGTGATCTTGCGCGCAATCCATTCTTTTGTGGCCACCACCTGGCCCTTGTCCACGCTGACGATCATCTTGATGCCCGCGAGCAGGCGGCAGGCCTCTTTAGTGGCCTCCGAAATGACCTGGACAACCTGCTTCCCTGTGCCGCTGGACTGGAGCGTGGAGGCGCCCGTCACCAGGGAGATGTCCAGGCTATGCCAGAGGTAGCAGAGCCTGTCGTAGACGTCGAGCGTGCAGCACTGAATGACTGACACCGCGAAGCTGCACCCAGCAATGACCCCACGATTGGTGTACACCTTGGGCGATGCTTAAGAAAACTTGAATTTTCGGCCAGAGTCTCGATTATTCTTAATGTTTCAATGTAAATCCTAAGATTTGAATGGAAATTTTGGGTTTTTATGGAAGTTCTGAGACTATGAATTTCTTAACCCATGATTTCTTAAGCATTTCGTAGGGTGTAGATGACTGTGCTCATCATGGTGCCGAACTTGATCGATCACCGTCCACCATAGCACTGCAACAGAAGGGCCATCCGTCGCCTTGGGAACCCATGCCGAATGGCAGAGTCCCAAAGCAAATCGTGGTTGCTCGTCTCGAAAGCCTTCTTGAGGTCAATGAGCGCTGCGGCAGCCTGTCTGCCCATAGCGCGCGTAGCCTCAGTGATTAGGGCGTGCTGCCAGACTGCCTGCTCGGTGCTCTTCCCAGCGCACGCGTACTCGTAGTCACGCTTGTGCTGCTGGTTCCAACGGTCCTACTGTTATTTGCGAGCCCGATTGTAAACCCTGAGGGCATCAGGCAGCAGGCCGATGAGTCGGTGTCCCCCGTCAGGCTTGGGCAGTTGTGGGAGGATCGTGCTCCGCGGGTGCTGCGGCAACTTCCCGATGCGCTCGGCCTGGTCCATGACGTGCGCGAAAGCATCAAGGGAAGCATCAGAGAGCACAAGGAAGGACTTTGGCCCCCACCGGTCGATCCCTGAGGCGGTCTTGGGACTGAAAGTCTTCGCCGCCGTTCGGATCAGAACCGGCGTGGCCACAGGCGGGGCCTCCTCGTCTCCGAAGTCGAACGCGCGGTCGCAGAAGCAGGCATGGCCCGCTTCTGGTTCCCACAGGCCCTTCCACTCCTGAAGATCCTGCTGGAGCCGCTGAGCATGGCTCGCGATCCCATAGCCCTCGTGATCAGCTTTGGCCGGGACCCAAAGCTGCGGCGCCTTGCTCCAGCGATGCGCCCAGCTGGTGTTGTGTATGACCTGCTGCCCTACCTGTTTCTTCCATTGTGCGAAGCGCGCCCTTGCCGCAGTGGCCTCTTCGGCAGCCACCCAGCTCATGCCCTTCAGCCAGTCCTCGCTCAGGGACCACTCTGCTGTGGCCCTTGTCGTCCAGGTCTGCCACTTGGCGTCCGCGCACTTGCTCTTGCGCAGCTTTCTGATGGTGTTGAGCCTGTCCTGGATGAACTTGGACTGGATGTTTATCTCCCTGGCCACGGCCATAGAGAGGTCGATACACGCAGCCCCCGCCTCCCGCCACCAACGAGATAACTAGCTTCCCTCCGCCTCCTGGTTGAGCGTCTTGCGGGCAGCGGCAACCAGCTTCATCCTGGGTACGTCGAGGTCCCCACGCCCCTGGTGCTGCTTGGTCTGGGATGCTGGGAGCTGAAAGCGGTCCACCAACTCCTTCTCAGCATTCGTGGCACATAATGCGTATAATGCGTATACCCAAGGTCAGGTCCTCTTGGTCCCCGACCAGCTCCGTCTCGCGCATGACGCCGTCGTAGCCCGGCGGGGGGAGCGGGGCACCCAGAGGGCATTGTTTGGGCCAGGGCCTGGGCAAGCACATCTCTTGCACCAGCGTCGCTCCAGGTCCTCGGTCAATCGTGATGGCCACCCCCCGGTGCGTGGCAATGGGGAGCCCGTCCAAGCGGTAGACTGACCTCACCATGCCCTTGATCTTGTCGGACACGAGGAAGTAGTCGATGGTTCTCGCTTTACCCGCCGTGCACGTCTACCTGTCAGGCGCGTCGATCGTGGCAGGGAAAGTGCAAAGCTCGCTGAGCTCGATCAACTCCTGGAGGGTCATGTTCCAGCCCGCCCCCAGGACAACTGGTCGCCCCACAGCTCGAAGCCAGCCAAGGACGTCCCTCAGGAGCAGCTTGCTGTATACCTCCACCCTGGTTCCTGAGTAGAAGTGGCAAGATGCGAAGTAGAAACCGCCAGGCACCATGCCCTCGCACAGCTGCGCCACGAACCTTGTAGACTGAGGCGCACTGAGGTCTCGCCCAAGCGCTGGTCGCCCGGTCATCGCAATGTCAGACCGCATTGCCACGCCAACGCCCGAGGAGGCAGAGTGCTCCGTCCTGGAGGAGGAGGAGGAGGAGGAGGAGGAGGAGGAGGAGGAGAGGAGGAGGAGGAGGAGACGGATGACAGAGGAGGAGGAGGAGGAGGAGGAGGAGGCTAGGAGAGGAGGAGAGGACGAGGACGAGGACGAGCAGGAGAGGGGGGCCAGGAGCAGGAGCGGAGGAGCGGGGAGGAGCGGGGAGGAGGGACCACAGCCCCCAGCCGGCGAGGCGGGCGCCGCCCCGCCCCGACCAGCTGCTCGCCTCCCCGCCGGGCGCCCGCGGGGCCCGCGCGGCGCCCCCGCGGCAGGCGCGGGTGCCCCGCTGGCCGGGGCGCGCGGAGGGCCTCCGACTGCCCCCAAACCCCGCCGCTCTCGGAGGGCCCCCCCCCGACCCCCTCCTCCCCTCCTCCCCTCCTCCTCTCCTCCTCCTCCTCCTCCCTCCTCCTCCCTCCTCCTCCTCCTCCTCCTCCGTAGCCATTTTGGCTCAAGCCATTTTGGCTCAAGTAATCCATCTGTCAAGTCAGCTGGACAGGTCAGCCTATGGGGGCTCGACAGCGCGGCCCGCGACACAGGTGCTGATCGAGTCCCCTCTCCGTGAGGTCATCCATATTTTCAGTCACGACTCTGTTTTCTCAGATACGACTTTCTTCCTCTATTGCATGGATTCTGACGATTCTGATACTTGCCGTGAAGGACCCCAGAGAAGGGGCTCCAACAGCCGCAGCGGAGGAGAACATCAGCCCCGCCAACGTAACCGTCGACCCCGAGGTGGTACAGAATCTGCTCTCGCAGAACGTGGTGTTCGCCGCCGACCTCGGGAAGAACTTCCACGAGAACATCGCCGAGATCGTCCCCTGTCTGCGCCTAACGGCCTGGCTGCTGCCCCGCAATGGGCGGGCCAGCAGGGTGGCGCCTCACCCAGAGATGCACTCCAAACTCGTGACCCGTGGGCTGATGCTGGTCCATGCCGCCTCTCCTCCCAGGACGTTGCCGCCCTCGAGGTCATGCCCACCTTCGCCAGTCGAGCTGATGCCGATGCGATCCCTGCCACCCCTATTGCAGGGCCTGCCACCCCTGGAGGCGCTGCCGCGGACGCCTCTGGTGGTGCTGCTGACGCGGGTGGCGCTGACGTGGCCAGCGACTTCCAGCAGCACCTCATGCGCCTGGTCCAGCAGCGCATGGACTCTACGGTTTCCGACATGCAACAGCTCTGCACGAACGCGATGGCTAACACCCAGAAGGCTCTCGTCCAGGAGATGGCCAACTACGTCGACCCTCTCGCGAAGAGCATCGCTGCACAGTCCAACGAGGTACATCAGATCAAAAGTCGGCAGAACGAGATGGAGCGGGACAATGCGAAGCTCCGCCAGCAGGTCGAGGAGATTCGCGCCAGCCTCTCCCTGGCGGAGCGCCAGCTCGGCGCCACGGACATGGCCAAGCTTGCTGAGTACGACCGCGAGGCTGATCCGCTCCTCTTCACGGCCAACTGCCAGAGCATGGTCACGGGCGCCGCCGTCAGAGCTGCTATTGAGGACTGGATCGTTGCTGCAAAGGTGGGCGCCGAGTTCATCGAGGTTGTGGGGGGTTCTGTCCCAGCCAGGCGCTTTTTCGTTCATGTCAAAGGAGCTGGTGGTGCGGGCACACCTCGAGCCATGGCCCTGGCCCGAGCCTTACGGCTCCCTGGTGGAGGTTGGCGGAACTTCACCGTGGCGGCCCCAGATGGCAGACGAGTCACTCTCCACGTGGGTGCTGATAAAGCCCCTCGGCAGATTCGACGCGAGATGCACACCAAGCGCCTTCTCAACATCCTCGTCCAAGACTGGTCTGACGTCGATGGCAAGCACCTCGAGTGGACCGCCATCCGTCCCAAAGGCATCCTCTGCGCCAACGCCGTCCCACTCATTGAGGTTGTACCACAGGGCTTCCACGAGTCGTCCAAGCTCTACTGGCACCCTGAAGCTGATCGTTCACTCCGCGCGGACTACCGTCGCAACATCGCGGAGCACTTCACAGAGGCCACGGCGTCGTCTTCGGAGGTTGACACCTCCACCTGGTCGTGCTCCTAGCCCACGCTGGCTGCCTTGGGTCTTGTCCCCTGCCCGAGGTACTGATTCGTCAGCCAGCAAGGGGCTCTGCATTGCGTCATGGAATGCCAATGGACTCCTCTGCCACCGGGCCCACAAGCGCAAGGCCAAGCTGGATCGTCTGGGCCAGTTGATGAAGCTTCGCAATCTGATTGTGGTGCAGGAGACGCATGGTTCGGAGATCAAGCTCAGGACTCTCCTCGCCCAGATGCCGTACCACTACCTCCCCTTCTTCTCAGCGGGCCCGAACCCAGGCTCTGGCGGCTTGGCCTTCCTGGTTCCGTGGTTCTCAGAGGCAGAGTTGCGCTCCATCGACCCGCACTTACTACCTTCCACTTCTATGAAGACACTTGTGCCAGGGCGAGTAGCCGAGCTCTCCATCTCCAACGTGAACACTGATGAGCATGTCCGCATCCTGAACATCCACAACTATGACGTCCCGCACGGCTCCTTTGCCTCCATCAAGCGTTGCTGGATGGATGGGGCTCGCTGGGCACAAGAAGACGAAAGACACCGCATTTTCTTAGCTATTGGCGACTTCAACATAGCTGACATTGAGCCGCTGTCCCTCGAGCAGCCCACCGCCGCTGGTTTGCCCCAGGCCCCTGGCGCTCTCCCCAGATCGCCACCGCGTGCTGCCTCGGCGTCCTCCAGCGGCTCCTCGTCCTCCACGACCTCGTCTGCTGCCTCGAGGGATAGGACAAGAAGAGCGGGTAACAGCCGCTCGGTTTGGCATCGGGGGAACCAAGGTCAGGGTTTCTGGAGAGCTCTATTCCAGCAGTCCCTGGCAGAGATTACCTGTGAGCTCCCCACCCACTTCTCCAAGCAGCACCAGACGTGCTCCTTCATTGACCGCGCCTTTGTCTCGCTGAAATCGCACTCCATCCTGAGCACTGCGGTCTCCTTTGAGATATGGCAGGAGGCTGCGAAGCTTGCTGACTGGGGCCTCAGCGACCACGCCATCATCCAGCTGAAGATCTGGACTCGTGCCCAGACCCCAGTGAATGAGCAGCCCATCCCGCCGAACATCTTCAACACGGACCGCTTCAAGAAGCACGTGAAGGCCCTCCTGGACGTGGCTGAGCTGGACTCCCTGGAGATTGGCTCTCGATGGCAGCTGGTCAAAGAAGTCATGACCGAGGCGGCGCGCCTGACCAGGAACGAGATTCAGGCCTTGCCCCTGGGTGACGGGAGCGAGGATGCGACTGATGGCCGTCGCCTCACGGCACGAGCCATCGCGAGAGCGATATGGCGTCAGGATGTGCAGCTGGCGCTCCGCCTCGTGCGCTCGACGGAGATGGGCGCGAAGCACCTCGCTATCAGTCCCTCCGATGTGGTCTCCCTGCAGGCGGCGGAGGACTTTGAGAGGGATTGCAGGCTCCTCCACCTCGCTTGGCATGAGCGTCAACGTGCTGCAGCTGCTGCTCGGCTCCGCGAGGAGTCCCGCCTACGACCTGGTGCTGAAGGACCTGATAAGTGGCAACTCTTGAAGCTCCAGCGGGCTGCACAGAGAAGGGCCATGCTCTGGGCACCCTTCCGCCGTCGTCTGGTCCTTGCGGGAGTCCGTCTCGACTCCAGTGGCCATGGGGCGTCGATCGAGAGGGATCCCTCTAGGGTCGTCGACGCGCTGCGGGACCACTGGAAGCCGCACTTCACGGACAAGCCTGTTGACGCTGAGGCGATCGACCGCTACCTGGACCAGCACCTCCCGCCCTTCGAGGCTCCCACCATGCACGTCCCCTCCATCGAGGCGCTCCGTGCGGTCCTCCGGCGCGCGAGACCGACCGCCCCAGGCCCAGACCGCCTCATGGCGAAAGCCTGGATGGCGGACGAGAGGCTTTCTGAGGTGCTCTACTCCATGATGCTGAGGCTCTTCGCAGGCGGCGGTGCCCCCCTCGGCTTCAACTACGCGGACATGGCCTTCGCTCCCAAGGGCTCTGAGATGTCTGATTCATACGACGTGGTGAGGGGGCCCAACCAGCTCCGCCCCCTGAGCCTTAAGAACTCCGATGCGAAGGCGGTGGCGGCGGTGGTGAACTTGCAGCTCGGACGTCTGACTGCCGCCCGTGCCCATCCTGTGCAGCAGGGCTTTATCAGAGGCCGCAATTTTCTCGGCCACATTGTCCGCCAGGACGCGATCGCTCGAGCTGCGGGGCACCACCCTGGCCTCTCCCCTGCCTTCCTCTCGTTCGACCTTCGGGCTGCCTTCCCCTCCCTGTCCCAGACGTTCCTCCGCCGCGTGCTCGAGCGACACCGCATCCCGACGGGGTTTCTGAATGTAATCTCGGCCTTGTATTCAGGGGCTCTCGCCCACGCCCGATGTGGCGCCGCCAGGATGGTGCTCTTTATGGTCTCCTCAGGAGTGGCCCAAGGCTGTCCCTTGTCTGGCACCATTTGGGCCCTCTGCATGGATCCCTTCTTGCGTCACCTCGAGGCCCAGGTTTCCAGTCCTTCAGCCAGAGCGATGTGCCCAAGCCCGTTCAGATGGTGCCCAGGTTTATACCCAGAGTGTGGAGCGACGGCGGATGACGTGGGTATTTCCCTCCCCTCGATTTCGATCCTTCCCGACCTCCTCCCACCATTCGAAGCCGCCCGCACTCTGGCCAACCTCGTCCTCCAGCCCGAAAAATGCTGCGCTGTCCCCCTGGCTGAGGAGTGCACACCAATGGTCCAAGATAGATTCGAGCATCTCATAGCGAGCCTGGTCCCAGAGTGGGCTGGCTTCCACGTGCGCGGTCGCACTACTTTTCTGGGCATAGAGTTTGGACCCGCAGCCACTATAGACCATCAGTGGGCTGCCCCGATCAGGAAATGGCGCTCGCGGACGGCCGAGACGGCCCTCTCCCGAGCGCCTGCGGAGTCTAGCTGCAGGCTTTACAACTCATGCATTCTCCCAGTCCTCAGCTATGTCTGTCAGCTCTTCCCCCTTTCCTCGTCCCTCCTTCGGGCTGAGCGCCACGTCCTCCACCGTCTCCTCCGTCTCCCACCCAACTCCTTCGGCCTCAAAGAGCTGCTAGGCATCAGTGCCTGGCTCCCATCGGCAGTCCCGCGGTCTGCCCGTGTCCTCGCCGCCTCATCGGCCTGGCGGACGGCCACCCTCACTCTTCCTCGGGACGGGCCTAGGGGGTGGGCGGAACCTCTCCTGCTCCTCCGCTCTCACGGGCAGATGTTTGGCCCCCTGAGCG